TCTGATGCTGCTGGATGAACTGAACACTTCCATCTGACCACCTTACCACCCACTATTTAAAAGAAGATCGCATGATTTCCAAAATGGAAACTATTCAAATTGCCTTCAAAAAGTTAAACCAGAAATGTTTATTTTTGGTCAACAACAAAAAGGCAGACAATTCTAGGCAGGAGATGCATATCTAGAACATGCACCCTTTTTTTTGGCCAAATATAAATTTATTTCTATTTCCCTTGTCATATAAAAATTCAAGATATATACCCAAAATAAATATGCCAGATAACATTTTCTTTAAACGATTGCTCTGCAATAGTAAAATCAGGTTTTCCAGTTGATAAGTTTCCTCCATTTTCCCAAATTCTATTCATAATCTCTCTCATGAGCTCTGACATTTCTTAACTGCATAGATTCATTTCCAGGTTACTAAAACTCTATGTATTAGAAGAGGTTTACATGACATAAAAGTAAAATGTTTGGTATTTAATATTAATAAAGAGAATGAAGACTTGTTCCTTTTAATCTAAAAACATTTTTGCTTTCTCAAAAACATAGGTTACTGTTTCAACAAGAAAGAATAATTTGTAAAGTAGGGTTTATTTACAATTTCACAGCCCAAGTTGAGCATGTCGTCTTTTATATAAGATGATCTGTCTTTACCAAGACCATATGTAGGAGAAACCTCAACTTTCCATGGCTAGTGTAATAACTATTTGTTCCAGCAGATCCTAAATAGTTATAAAGAAGATGTGATGTACTTTATTTACCTACCCACATACTTGAAACCCACTGGACCAATTTCAAGGCCGTGACCTAATCTTAGCCTGCGCGGATATCCATTGGCAAGTTGTACTTTCATACAGGTATCTGTGGCTTTATATCCTACATAAATCTCCTTTTACATGTTCTCATAACAGGTAATAATTACAGCACTTACACATGGTTCCTGATATCCTGCATTACCAAGCTCTTGCCATGACACATATTTCCTATGCTCTTCAACCTTGATTACAGTTTGTTGAGTATTTGCATCCAGTGCTTCCAGTTAACCAGTCTTATAGCACTTCATTCTTCTTATTTCAAATCATACTCCTCTTTCTTCACTGTTTTCTGATCCTCTAAAGCAGCGGTTCTCAACCTGTGGGTCGTGACCCCTTTGGGGGTCAAACGACCCTTTCACAGGGGTCGCCTAAGACCATCGGAAAGCACATATTGAATATATAATTACGTATTGTTTTTGTGATTAGTCACTATGCTTTAATTATGTTCAATTTGTAACAATGAAAATACATCCTGCATATCAGGTATTTACATTACAATTCATAACAGTAGCAAAATTACAGTTATGAAGTAGCAACGAAAATAATTTTATGGTTGGGGGTCACCACAACATGAGGAACTGTATTAAAGGGTCGCAGCATTAGGAAGGTTGAGAACCACCGCTCTAAAGCACATATAATTATTAGATACAGCGCTATCTGTCTCTTGCCAGTGAAGTATACAGAAATGAATCGGTACAGTCATCCCTCGAATTCTATGGGAGACTTGTTTAGGAAACTTAGCAGATACCAAAATCGCAAATGCTCAAGTCCCTTATTATAAAATGGTGTAGTATTTGTATAACCTTTATTTGCATATAAGCTACAACAGGGTATGTCTACACATCACCTCAAGTGGATTCAGCAAAGTGCTCAGCGTATGACAAATTCAAGTTTGCATTTTTAAAATTTCTAGGTTGGTTTTTTTTCTGAATATCTATCTTTTAACCTCACCTGAGAATTTTTTTTTATTATTCATTTGAGAGAGAGAGGAAAGGAGAGAGAGAGAAACATCAACGTGAGAGAAACATCAGTAGGTTGCTTCCCACATGCACCCCCATCTGGGATTGAACCTGCAACCTGGATATGTGCCCTGACAGGAATCAAACCTGCAACCGTTTTGGTATGTGGAACAATGCTCAAACCAACCTGTGGTAGGCAGAAGGGGCACCCACCACTCTGCTCTTGGCTCTAATTTCTAGGTTTTGTAATTTCTTTACAAGAACTATAGTCACACAAAGTAAATAAACATCAGTGAAAATGAACTGGCAAAACCAGTTGTCCTAATTTTCTCTTACTGAATAGATTCAACACTGTTGTCATCTGTGCAGTCAAGCACGTTACTTAAGTGTAAGAATCATTCTCGCACCTAACGTAATCCAAAAGCTGTATCAGGACAGCACAGGCGTACAGTAATATCAGATATAGTTTCAAGTGCTATAAAACACAATGATTGTACATTTTGGTTGCAGGCTTTAAAAATACTATAGTATATGTGGGTTTTTTTGTTTTTGTTAATCCTCACCCAAGGATATTTTTCCACTGAATTTTAGAGAGAGTAGAAGGGAGAGGGAGAGATAGAGAGAATCATTGATGTGAGAGAGATATATCAATTGGTTGCCTCCCACAGACAACCCCAACCAGGGGTGGTGAATGTGCCCTTGATGGGACACTTCAGTCTGCAAGACCCTTTAGTCTGCAGGCCGATGCTCTATCCACTGAGCTAAACCAGCTAGGGCAATATATGTGGTTTTGAGGAATATCCTAATTGTCATGTTTGAGACTATTTTTTTTTCTATTCAAGTGCTGACAAGTCTGAGTGTGTAGGTACACACCATTTACCCTGCTTTTAAGTTGATTTTAACCTTAAGAGTACTCTTTTTATTAGCCCTCACCTGAGAATACATTTTTACTGATTTTTTTAGAGAGAGAGAAAGGGAGAAGGAGAAACAGAGAAAGACTGACTTGAGAGAGAAACATCTGTCAGTTGCCTCTTGTACACACCCTGACCAGAAATCGAAACTGCAACCTTTTGGTGTATGGGACAGCGGTCCAACCAACCGGGCCACACTGGCCAGGGCAAGAGTACTCTTATAAAGCAACAAAATTGTAGAGAATTAAGGTCAATTAATAACTAGATTCTAAAACCTATTAAATTTTTAACTGGACAATATCAAAATCCCTATAATTTGTAAAGAGCAATAATAAAACTTGAAATTTTTCCAGTTTCAACTTGGATTTCCCCAAAGATAAAAACACACGTTAGGAATTTCTGTCTGGTTCATCTGTATATTCCTTTAAATACTTCATTAACAATTATTCTACTGCTAGATGAAGGTTAGGTATAATAAATACAGACACTCAGATCACATTTTAATAAAAAACTGTCTAATTCAGTATTGAAAATGTTATTCATATTTAACTGTCTTCTGGAAACAAAGCCTTGTTTTCTAAGCCCCAGAATAGGTCCTATCCTTCAAACAGAAATTGCTTACAGTGCAGCCCTGTTTATCACCAAAGTAAACATCTCTGTATAATCTAAACTCAGCTCCTTCTGAAAGACTTTCCATTTTATCTATCCTTTATTCGCAATATGTGTCCTTGATATCGCAGTTTCTTTCGGTCATGTTGTTTTACCTTTGGGGGAATATTTTTCTGGATCTTCTACATGGGCTGGTCCTTTCTCCTACAAGGTGGCCTATCTCCTGGGAAGTAGGGACTTATCAGTAATATTCTTGTAAGGCTCTGCACACAAAAGCCAACTGATGTAAGTACCCAACTGATTCTATGGTCTCCCAAACACAAGAAATCAGAAAGGAATTAGATTCCTTAATATCTTATTTTATATTAACAACTAGCAGATGGCATATTTACCTCCACCTTCCTTACCTCACCTCACCTCACCTTCCTGTCCCTCTCCAATAAAAAACTAGATCATGCCCTAACCAGTTTGGCTCAGTGGACAGAGCGTCAGCCTGCGGACTGAAGGGTCCCGGGTTCGATTCCGGTCAAGGGCATGTACCTTGGTTGTGGGCACATCCCCAGTAGGAGGTGCGTAGGAGGCAGCTAA